CTCTTGGCGCAAGAAGAACGACAACACTTCGTAGAACTGGAGCAAAGGTTAGTCCATGATATCTTCGCCGTGGTCAAAGAGGGGCAAAGCTTACCGTTGTAACAGGAACACCGATACCGCCGAAAGCAGTCAGCCACATGTTGTCGACGACTTGATCGACCGAGTTTCCTTGCGCCAAGAGCTCCTCGACAAACTTGTAGCCGCAGGACCGCAGCGAATCTTTCTTAAAGTTGGCCCTGCGACCGACCGCGCTGGAGATGGCGTTGGCGATTCCAAAGCCAAGGCCACGACCGGCATGGACCTCCTTGACGGGGCCAGCCGTCGACTCGATAATAGCGTTAACGCTCTCAATCGCGCGGCGGCGACGGTTCCATGACTGAGCTGGGTCGTTGTCATTGACTCCCCAGATACGGACATTGAGCAAGTGGTTGTAGAGCTCAGCATGGCCAAGGGTACCACCAGGGTTCTCGTCAGTGCGCAGATCAAAGTAGAAGAGGTCAGCAAGAAGCTGAGCGTTCAAGGGGATGGCAACATCGCGGATGATGTCCATCTGGTGCAGGCCCTCCTTCATCTTGAACGTCTCCTTCTTGACGAGCTCTGCGCCCACGCGGTCGATGAACTCGTGGATCGCGTTGTGCAGAGTCGGAATCTTGCTGAGCGCCTTCTTGATGTTGATGCGGTGTTGATAGTTTTTCTGCTCGTCACCCGCGAGCATGAACCAGCTGATGTCCCGCTTGGAATTCGTGAACATGGCCTCGAGAGGCCGGAGCCACGGCAAGACGAATTGCTTAGGGTTGCTCAAGACATACTTAATGGCCCCGCTTGATTGGGTGATGATGGCCTTGCGTGGAGGTGTTGGGTCTTCCAGAGTGTAGAGGTGGAAGGTGCCAATCTCCTTGGCAATGGTCTCGTTCATCTTCTTGGTGTACATGGGCTGCATGACGGCTACCGAGTTGTAGGGGAACCAGTTGGGCAGTCCTCGTTGAATGAGCTTGTACAGCATCGAGCCACCGAGGGTCTTGTAGTCCTGCTGGACCTCGTTGAAACCCCATGCTGTCAGGTTGCTAACGGTGTAGTCAATGGTGTTGAAGCGATCTGAGCGGACAAGAGTCACGGCGTCAGAGAGGACAGCTCGGCCGACAGAGTATGTCGGGCAGATACCGCTGCCAGTGTTGCGTACCGGCTTGATGTCCTCAATCATGAGTCCTGTGATGCGTTAGATATGTCTCAAGGATGAACTTCTGTCAAAATGAGCTTACCAGGGTAAAGCTCAACCATATCAGGGTCGGTGTAGAGCTTCTCAAGGAGGCTGGCAATATCGGGGTTGGAGTTGATGTCGGTGAACTTGTCATACTTCTTCAAGCCAAAGAACTCTCGGAACTCGTTCAGCGACGCGACCTGCCACCTGCGCGCCTGGTTTATGCCCAGAACCTCGATGATCTTGAGGGCCTTGGGCACCATACGAGCACCGAAGCATCCAGCCGGGTCATTCATGGCCTCCTTGAGGATACGAGCCAGATCCTCGTCCTTGAAGGTGCCGTCTTCTTGCCTCTTCAGGTCGTCAAAGGTGCGGACACTTGGGTCCTTGGGGATTGACTGCTCGTAATCAACGAAGGCCTTGCCAAGCTCCTCGATGCTGATGTTTTGGAGGTCCGCAGGCTGCTTGCCCTTGAAGATCTTGCCAAAGAACCCGTCGATCCACTTCTCATCTTTCTTGGAGATGCAGGAGTGGAAGCGATACAGCAGGTTGAACTCGACACTGACTTGGTTGCCAACGCCGCGGGGCACGCCATCGCTGTCGAATTGCTTGTTAATCTCAACGCGCGGGTCGAGGGTCCAGTCGCTCTTGGAGTGGTGCGTGTTGGTGATGGCTCTCAAGTAGTCGTGCAACGAGATGTTGATGTAGAGACCACCCACAATGAGACGTGCCACGTTGAAGAGGTCATGGTCTTGCTTGGCAACAGCCTTGGCCTTCTCAATGTCGGTGGCGTTGGGTTTGGTTTGCAGTGTGAAGCGCCCGTTCTCATTGATCTTGAGCAGGACATCGGCAACGTAGTTGTGGAAACGAGAGTACATGACCAGCATGACGTTGACTCCCGCGGGCTGCCCAAGGAGACGCTTCTCGTGGAATGTGTCAGGCTTGAGTTTTCCTTCCTTCATCGTTCTGATCTCAAGCTGGTCCTTGAGAGATGAGCCGTACAAGGGTGCCAAGTCGAGGTAAGATGATGTGTCGCTCTTGTTCATGTCGGTCCGGTTGGTTCTGAAGATGTCGTGAATAATGATAGAGGCGTGGTAGAACAGCATCGAAGAGATACCGGCCGGGTTCTCCTTGAAAGACCCCTCGTCACGAGCCATCAACAGGTCAAACAGGAGACCCGGGTCAGGCTTGACGCCATGAAGTCTCTTGGACGTCCTGACCGACTTGGCGTAAGGCGTTCCAGCCTTGCCCAAGTTTGGCTCGAGGATGTTATTGAAACTGCCATCGGGAGAGCGGTAGTGGTGCAAGCCGTCAGGCGCCTGCGGTACTTGTTCGCGCAGACGGATCTTGGTGCCAGGAGCAGTGAACTCGATCGAGTCTGTTGCTTGAGGCTCCTTTGTCTGTGGCTGTCCGTTGCTGTCGAGGACTACGCCTTCTTCATTGAGAGCGTCGTACTTGATGTCACCACCGACATAACTCAGTGGGGGATGCTGAAGATTTCCCCATAATGTGTCAATGAGCTTGTTGGTGAGCATTGTCCTGGCCTTGGAGGTGGCAGGCAGAGATGTAAGAATGCCAATGAGGATCTCGGTTGTTCTGCTTGACGTTAGAATTGGGCCATATCAAGCTCATTGGTGGTCGTTCCTACCCTTTCTTGTCATCAAGAGGCTCGCCCTTCGAGAGGAGCTCTTTGATGAGGCCGACAAGCTCCGCCGGGGAGGTTTGACCGCGTATGGAGACATAGTCCTTCAGGATATCGGCTGCAATCTTCGCCGGGTCATTGAAGAAGTTGGCCGAGTCTTGGCGCGCATCTCCATAAGACTCTCCGGCCTGGAATTTCTGAGTAAAGTTGGTAGCCATGATTCACCCGCTGCCTTGGAGTATAAGGGTGATAGATCAGGGGAAGCAGATGAGAAGTGAGGTTCGTGACTCCATGGCCCATACCAAGAGGCTCTGCTATGGTACTCATATACCAATCTCAACACTCAATCAAATGGCACCCATATCTGCTGACCACTTGGCCAAGAGATACAAAATACCCCCTCACCTCGAGATTTCCAAGATCCCCTCACTTCATGATGGAGACTTGAGTGGCGTCCAGTCAAGCGGATGTTCACTGCGGATCTGCATGAGCACGAAGGGTATGCCGGCGCACCGAGGCATTTCCGTTCGACCTCGAATACAAGGTGGAATGTGAAACCGTACTGAATAAACCCTCCCAATGCGGTAGAATGACTGAGACACATCGTCGACATGTCTGGAGCCAAAATGCCAGCATTGCCTATCGTGCCTGTTTCCTATGCCAGCCGGAGACATGCAGATTGTGGCGCCCTGAAGTGAGGGGAGGATGTTATCAGGGAGCCAGTCATGATTGAGGTTCACGTCGCAAACCGTGAGTTTGGTAGACTCGTTGTGCTTGGAGGAGGTTGAGATGGTGGAGGTTGAGAACTGAGTAGGAGCGTCGCTTCTTGCCATGGGCTGTCACTCGTGAGACATATCTAGCGCTGTGTTATGTCGGTCAGCAGGCGGAGGGGGATTCCGAAGGTGAGGGGAAAGGGAGCATTCCGCAGCCGCACAAGAAAAGCAAAGACATCGGCCGGGTGTGATGTTTGATGCCCGAAGTAGCACGCTGGTGCAAACGGCTCCAAACGTCCTTCGGACGGGCCGCACCGCCTGCAGGATTTCGGACATGATGAGTATTCTAACCTCATTCATTGGAAGACGGAGATCGCCGACAGGGTACATGACATGCCGATCGCCTGTTGCTGGCATGTCGTACAGGACAGTACGAGGCAAGACATTTCATGTGAGTTGAGGGCATGTCTCTACGATTGGTCTGAGACATACTATCTGATATGCTTTCCCCGCAAAGCAGAGCTTTTGGAGCTTTCACCGCAGATGAATTCAGATTCATTTACTACAACGCTATTGGTCAATGTTCGCTAACACGGCAGATCATTCTTGGCCTTACCGCAGGAGCAAATTAGGGCAAAGGTGGCTTGGCTTCATGTCTGGGCTATCCTGGCCTGATACGAACAAATCTGGCCCTCACCGCAACATAGCGTTCACCGGTGGCATCTCATCGCATATCAGTCTCAGCCATCATGAGAAATATCTCCGTATTGGGCGGCTCGCTGAGGTCTCAGGGGGCACGACAGGTCGAAAGTGGACAGACATTCCGTCCCGGATGCTAGTTATCCGTCCGCCCGTTGCGTGACACCATCAGCTCATGGGTGAATCACTACATGCCACTGGTGACTGGTTGACTTCCCTTGGTGGTCGATGCTGGACTAATTTGCGAATCAGAAAGAATCGTTACAACCGCTCTACTCTTTAACTAGGGAGCATTGTCCCTAGCGGACTGTTAGCCTTAATTAAGGCAATTCCTGGTTTCTATTCCCACGGTGAAATGGTCTGTACGGCAAATGGTATGGGGATGAATAGGAAATCAGTCTGTATTGAAAGCACGAGTATAGATAACCGATCTGCAAAAGGTTGACTATCGGTGGCTTCGTGCTACTACCGGTATTAGTTCGAGTGTCTCGGTGCCGCATCGAAGCCACGAACAAGTCTTTTTGAACTGAACGAACAGATGCCGTGTCCCATGTCGTGAGACGTGGTGACGTACTCTCCCCTCCCTATGAAAGCTAGATGAACATGATCGCCGCCCCTCGGCCGCCTTGAGACAATATTCTCTAGTACTGTACCTAGCGAGAAATGCCGCGCTTTAGGCTTGATTGGCAACCTGACGGCTGCGCTGCGATGATTACCAGGGAGTTGCTGAACGTGCAGATGGTCGAACATGTCCTCAGGTGTCGATATGTAAAGACATATATCGAGGCCTTTGGCACTTGCCAGTGGTACGGATGAAGCCCAGATTAGCTTTTCTGGCTTGCAATCAACCCTATTCTCGCATACAAGTCCAATTCTATTGAGTATTCACCACATCAATTATACTCAGTTGCCTCCTTCCTTTCGCAGAGTCGTTATGGCCGACTTTTCTACCCTCAATGGCAATGCCAATCACGAGTCAGAAAAGAAGAGAACTCCCAGAAAGCTAGTTCTGTGCTTTGACGGCACCGGCAACACCTTCACCGGTTCCAACTCCGACACAAATGTGGTCAAGATTCTGAGTAAACTCGATCGCAACGATCCTGACCAGTACCATTACTACCAGAGTAAGTTGGTACCAGCACGCTCTCAACTGTTTCACCGCTGACAGATGTACTCGCCTAGCTGGCATCGGCACATACGACATCAATGATGAGTCTGTTAACAAGGGTGTAATTGGCGAATTCAAATCTTCCATCTCGCAGACCATCGACCAAGGAATCGGAACGACTTTCGATGCTCACGTTATGGCTGGCTACCGGTTCCTGATGCGTTACTATGATTCTGTACGTCTACGTCCTTACCTACCCGGCATGGCGAGGAACTTGACGACTAATAAATGTGCGTTAAAGGGTGACAAGATCTACATGTTTGGATTTAGCCGTGGCGCCTTCACTGCCAAGTTCCTTGCTCGCATGGTTCATACAGTTGGGCTACTTTGCAAGGGAAACGAGGAGATGGTCCCCTTCGCGTACCGTCTCTACCAGCGCTACTTGGCTGGGGAGGTCGAAGACTTCATTGTGTCCCACCCCAAGAAGTCCAAGAAGGAGAAGAAGCACAAGAAGAACAAAAAAGCCCCCGCCAATGGAGATGTACCGACACCGCCACCTGAGCTAGAAGACGAAGAGCCGTTGCATGAGGGTCATCGCGATGATGAGGACCCGGCAACCCACGGGGCGAAGTACGCAGTCGCTAGGGACGAGATTGCCGCCTTCAGCGACACATTCTGCCGCAAGGAGAAGGCGATGCACTGTGGGAAGATGGAGGAGTCCAACATCAAGGTCTTCTTCCTCGGCATCTGGGACTGCGTCAACTCCGTCGCTGTCTTGGAGCGAACTGCACCGGTACCCGTGCCTGTTGTTGGCACTGCTCACCATGTGCGCCATGCTGTAGCAGTCGACGAGCGACGCGTCAAGTTCAAGGCAGCTCTCCTGGCCCAAGACATGAAGGAGTCAGACCACAACCATGAAGACATCAAGGAGGTCTGGTTCCCGGGCTGCCACGGTGACGTTGGTGGTGGGTGGCCTGCGTCTGCTGAAAGCAAGCTCGACAATGGCATCGAGATGACCTTCTGGGAGCGCGTCAAGAACTTTTGGACGACACGGAAGGAGAAGGCAGCCAGCAAGGCTTTGGGTTGCGACCGGCTCCAATTGAGTGATGTTCCGCTTGCTTGGATGATCCGCGAGGTGAAGCTTGTCGGCCAAAGAGAGGAAGTTGCGGCACTGAAATGGCGCGAGAACCTCGAAGTTTTTGAGAAGCGATTTGCAAAGAAGAAGGATAAGGCAACGATGGGTGTCATCCACGATTCATTGGCGTATGGCCGAGGTACAAGCTTCTTCCGCGTGCTCCTGTGGAAGCTCATGGGTAAGATCAAGTTTCATCTCCGGCCTCTATACAACAATACTGATTTGATCCAACAGAATGGCTGCCTTTCATCACTCGGTGGGAGCTTGAGGACAGTGGCTGGGAAAATGTTCGTTTCCCGCTCAACAAAGGCAGCACGCGAGACATTCCCAAAGACGCTGTTCTCCACGAGTCTGTTCTCTGGCGATTGAAGAACGACTCAAAGTACTGCCCGCAGAACAACCACGGTGGTCGGCAGCTCCCCTGCTTGAAACACGAACACAACATTGCGGAATGTCATCCTGTGGAAGAGCACATCCATGATGAAAATTGTGACCATCAGATCTACAAAATTACAAGGTCTGCCTCTGATCTTGTTACTCGGACTTAGGGGGGAGACGGTGGATACTGGAGCATGCGGTCGCGCAATCTTGCGAATGAGTCTGAGAAGTGGAAAATGGGGTGACGGGAAGTTTGGAAGAGGACTGTGTAAATTCATCTCAGAGCAAAGCAAATTGGTAATCGTTGATGATTGATGGGACCGCCCGCTATCGGACTATCCTCAAAGTTGTTGTTACTAAAAGACTAACACGCACTTATGGGCCAGCCCCAATGATCGATCATCTCGAGAGCATGTCTAATCTGCCAGGCTTGTAGTTACTAGCTTTACGTATCAGAGCCTCCGTCCAATGGCTTGATCCGGCGATCGGTCTCGCTTCCCTCTTATCTCAAGAATTCCTCCAAGACATCATTTGCAACGAAAAGCACCTTGGATGTTGGGGTTTACCCCGATGCTCATGCGACCAATTGCACATCACGGATGACAGCGGCGGAGCTGCGCCAATGTGGTTTGCTGACAATCGGCACCACGTCGTCCTTGGCCGACAGCCAGAATGTCACTCTGCGTGGAAATAAAGACCATTACCTCCGTTCACAGCCAGGGATTCGGACCCGACCATGTGGAGAGGTTGGGGCCGCTCTCGGCACTAAAAGACGCTATTCTCCAAAGCCGGATTCTCCAAGTTTTGATAAGGAATGGCCGGCGTCTTATCGACGTCGGGTTATCATCTTGATGTTCTTGATAGTCAGAAGGTTGGTGACACACAGAAATGATGCGGTTGAATCCTTTGGAAGAGTTTGTGTGATGCTACTCACATATAAGACAGTTACTCAGGTCGCGATGTTGCCCAGTAGAAAGGCAAGTGCCGGCGTTACTGCACCGGGATTTACCAACAACAATCACCAGCTAGCAGCTGTGCTTCTCATAGAATGCGGTCCTTCGCTTTTATCCTGGCTTCTTTCCGCCTAGCCAGCGCCAACTACGTCAACCAGGGCCAAGTGTTGAGTTTCAATGGCATCTCATACTATGCCGGCGGGATTGCTGTGGGCCAAATAGAAACTACAAACGTCTCGAGTCTCTCGCTTGCAGCTGCACAAATTCCCGGTCAGGACCTGTTCCCACTTACTATTATCGACACTTCGAGCAACGTCCCTTCAGGGGATGAGCTTCTGAATCTTACTACCGCTTACGATAGCTTGGATGACGTCTTTCAATCTGCCTTTCTACATGCGATCTATCTCCGCCCAAGCACAACCAATGCTCCCGCTAGGTCCAACAGTACTATGTCTCTTGACTCCCAACTATCACGTCAAGGCACCTCTTTGGTTCTATCATCCAAGGAGATCCATGGCCTTAAAAGTAGCGTCGTGACTGGCGTAACTGTCTTGAGTCTCCCTCGAGGACCCTACTTCGTCTCGGTCCACACTGGAAACGTGTACAAAGCCTACCGGCTGTACGACGATGATCACCTCGCTTTTGTACAAGGCGTAATTAGCGATGAAGAGGGCGCTTTCACTACTCTTCCTGCTGTTACTGAGAATGTAATGGCAAAGAGCATCGCGGTCCCTTCGCGGTTGTATTATACTGAGACCGAGGAGCAACCCCTCGCCGGCCTCCGCTTCGGAGTCAAGGACATTTTCCACGTCAAGGGGGTAGGCACGAGTGGTGGAAATCGTGCCTACTTCTACCTGTACGGACGACAAAACAAGACTGCACCCGCAGTGCAACGTCTCATCGACCTTGGTGCTGTCCTCGTTGGCAAGATGGGCACTGTCCAGTTTGCCAATGGTGATCGTCCCACTGCTGACTGGGTTGATCTCCATGCCCCCTTCAACCCCAGAGGTGACGGGTATCAGGACCCCAGCGGCTCGTCCACCGGCCCGGGAGCTGGAGTAGGTGCGTACGGCTGGCTTGATCTTGCTGTCGGCAGCGACACTGGTGGTTCCATGCGCGGTCCGGCGGGATCTCAAGGCCTCTTCGGAAACCGGCCTTCTACGGGCGCCATCTCCCTCGTGGATGTCATCCCCTTGAGTCCCGTCTCAGATACCGCCGGAATGTTCGCCCGCAGTGGCAGCCTCTGGGCCAAGGTCACCCAGGCTTGGTACCCTGACTTTGCTTCCAACTACACTTCCTACCCGACGACACTATACCGATCAACGGCTAGAGGAGGCGCTTGGTCCGGAGAAAACGTTAGCGAGGACGCCACCAAGGTCATCACAAGCTTCGTGGGAAAGCTAGAAAGCTTCCTACAAGCCAAGTCAACTCCAGCAAACTACACGCAGCTCTGGAGCGAAACTCACGGAGAAGCACCTGCAGATGTCAACGAGATGCTGTACCTCACCTACGGCGTCTATGTCTCTCATGATCAGTGGCAAGAACTCGGCAAGCCATTTTTCGAGGATTACGCAGCCAAGTTTGATGGGCGTCAGCCATATATCAACCCAGGACCCCTCGCCAGATGGCAATGGGGCCAGGTCCATTCGACAGAAGAAGTCTACGCACAAGGTCTTCACAACATTTCCCTCTTCAGATCTTGGTATGAAACTGAGGGTTATGGGCGACATGATCCCGAGTCATGCTCCGAGGGACTCTACATCTATCCTTGGTCTGTGGGCCAGCCATCCTATCGCGATGTATACATCCAGGCCCGAACTACACCGCCGCTGGGCTTTGACGACTCTTCAGTCCCGGTCATGGCCGGTGCACCGGAAGTCGTGGTTCCAATCGGAGAGGTTCCTTACAACAGCACCAAGTCGCTGCACACGGAATATCTCCCAGTGACTATGGCTTTGAGAATGGCAAGGGGATGCGATCATCATCTTGCGAATCTGGTTAGTGATCTTGAGAAGGAAGGTATTCTTCGCCCAGTGGCTGCGGGTCGCCGCCTGTACCCTTAGGATTATGTCTCGTGCTAGTCCCCGACTGACCGGCCTGCGTCGGGATCGGCCGGCGGGATCTGCATGAAGCTGTAGAGCGACCTAGGTCGTGTTACCCCGCAAAGTAGATGGTTGTGACGTCGATATACGCGCTTCGACGTTTAAGACCCCTCATAAGATGTAATCAGATTACTGATCTAGCTCAAGCCTAGGGTTATCAATGAAATTGAGGTGCTGACGAGAAATAAAGACCTGTCAATCCCTTCATTCGATGCATCGCTGAAGAGTGTTATTATCGGAAGTCTGATACCCTTGTTTGATCTTCAGCACTAAACAATACACCGTTGATACACTTCAGTCTTTGATCAGCGCATTTACATCATGCCTTTCTACCAAATTTACCATACCTATCCTCTTGCCCAGAAGCAGCGGGAATCCATTGCGTTGTCCATCACCAATCTCCATTGTAGCACCTTTAACACCCCCGCCTTTTTCGTCCACGTTAACTTCATCAAACAAGAGCCAAAGTCCGATGATGGAACGTACTTCATGGCCGGAAAGTCGCACACCAGCAACTCGAACCGCATCGTTGCGCTAGTTCGAACGTCGGCTTCTCGCACGAAAGATGACTTTGACGCACTGGCAGCCAAGATCGAAGATGCCTGGAACGGCGCTGTCAAAGAGCCGGGTAAAGAGGCCGAGTTTGATGAGGCAAAACGGCTTTTGATGGTCGTGTTTACGCCGATGTTGGCGATCAGGGAGGGCGGGATGGCTATTCCCGACGCTGGCCACGAGGAGGCGTGGCTCAAGCAGCAACTGCCGTATTTCAAAGAGATGAGCGAAAAGCACGGAGTCAAAGACTTTACGGACCTGCTGGAGGAGTTGAAACAGATGGAATCGCTCAGGGGTCTTCTGATTTAGGTTATTAGATTGCGTCTAGCAGTCATAGTACGATCAAAAGTGTAACGCATTCCCTTGTTTGGCTTCTTGACATCCCGTTGAACGAGATCGTTACTCTCAGACGTGGTTCTCCTGAATTTCCACATTTAGAAGTCATTTCTCAGCCCTCCCCACGTTTTTCCAAGTTAAGCTGGTGAAGGCTTGCGAAAACGGCCCCTTTAGCAGAGAGGGAGGGCCATTTCCAAGCAGCTCTGCATCAGACGGTTCAAGGACGATATGAATTGGGTGTGATACTTCAGACAAGTAAGGCAAGTTATGCTACGGATCGGGAAAGTCTGCAGCTAGTCCTCAAGATTGAAAGTTTCTCTCGAAGTGAATGGAAAGAATAAGTCGAGCGTCGTTGTAGATCGGCCCCCGGGGCGCTATGTCAAGATTGCCTCGGCCATACTACTCGAAACTCAGGACTATGGAAGAAGCGCGGGGCTCAGATGATCTAGAACCACAGAAAGATGGCGGTTGACGAGAGAAGACTGCCGTTGCCAACGTTTTGCGTCAACGGCTGGACGCTGATCGTCTAACGAGGCGACACGATCATCCAAATCATGCGTAAGGTTGATGCACTGACGACCTCCCTTTCATGGCTTCAGACGGGGGCCCAAAAACCAGTAAACTGTGTCGAATTTCGGGGTATTTGAGAGGTCCAACTGACGGAACAGGGAGCCGGTCGGCGCAACGTGGCAAAAGACTTGCTTGCGGGCCGTAGACAGGATGAATCCTTGCGTGAATCCGAGAAGCAGACCGGAGGTGGGATGATGTTTCCAACAAGAATCACTCGATACCATGTTGCGATTTGATTCGATTGTGCCTGCTGGCAGGCTACCCGGTATCGAAACTCATTTTCGAACAACTGGGCAAGAAATTGTTATCAACACCCTTGATGGGGTTGACAATTTATCAAGTCTTTCACGAGAGAAAGGGTTCAAATGGTAATATAATGATTCGAAGAATGCATTCAACGCCTAGCTAATCCAAATTGTTTGGCTCATTGCTATGACCATCGTCCGACCTTGATTACATGAGCCCAGTGAAACCCAGGAAATGCATGCCTTACCAGAAATAAATCACACATGCAAGTATGCCCGAGGATGCGTGTGTCCCCAACCGCCGCGCACGGAACCCCCTCATGCCTTGAGGCCCAAGTCGCCAGTCCTCCGCCGGATCTCGAGCTTGGCCTTGGGGTCAACCTCCATAGTGAATCCAAAGTTGATCGTATTG